TACCCGGTTGAAGTACAGTCTGTACATTATCAACCACATGACCTCCTCCGTGCAAGCACGGACTCGAACCGGTGCCCTCAGTCTCAAGAGCCGAGTCTCTTATCCACTACAGCCATGACACGGTGTACAAAACTGGATCAATGTTGGTCGTGATATCCACCCCACCCCTGCATGGCTGTAATGTCCTTCGACTCACACACCCACACACATAACACCACACAAGGCATCCGCCACACAGGCAAGAGTCGCACACTCCGCTCTCATCCAGCACAACTGCTTATCCAACGGTTTTATCCACGGGCCATCACATCCAGGTATGATTTTCGGGCTGGTTACCCGGTTGAAGTACAGTCTGTACATTATCAGCCACAGGACCTCCTCCGTGCAAGTACGGATTCGAACCGGCGCCCTCAGCCTCAAGAGTCGAGTCTCTTATCCACTACTGCCATGACACGGTGTACAAAAGTGGATCCATGCTGGTCGTGATATCCACCCCACCCCTGCATGGCTGTACGTACTCCAAAAAGGTGCAAGTGAAGAATGAGGGTGAAAACAGACAATGGCTGGGGTATACCCCAGCGGACTGACGGGACTAGACTGGACTGGCTGGTACCGACAGAGGTACCGGCCTGGACTGGCCTACCCCGAATACAACACAGGCCTGTGAGAACAGGCCAAGGGGCTGGTCTCACAGGCCAACCGGAGGTCCGCTACAAACTTCAACCGGGTAACCAGCCCGGAAATCATACCTGGATGTGGTGGCCCGTGGCTGGCTTGCTGCAGTGAAGGCCAAGACCCTCCTGGTCTTGGTGTACATTGTGCCCTTGGAGACACCAAGGGCCAGGTATCACTCCCTTCTCCCCTCTCCCTCTACTAACCCGCTCTCCCTACCTCTCCTCTCTCCTCTTATTCACCCCTTCTCTTTCCCCCACCTTCTACTGCATCTCTTCTCTCCTTCCTTCTTGATCTCTCTCCATCTTTCCCCAACCCTCCTCTCCCCCAACTACCACCACCTCATTCCCCCACCTATTTCCTTCTCTTCTCCTTCACTTTTTCATTCCCATTTTCCCCCACTTCGAATTTTTCTGTTTTTCTTTTTTTTTCTATCTCTCTCTTGATTTATCTTTTCTCTTTTCCAAAAATTCGAAATATCTTCTTTCCCACCTTCTTTTATTATTTTCTGATTTATTTTATTTATTTTTCTATTTAGTCTGAAAATTCGATTTTCTTTACGGCAACCCTAAATCTGATTAGGTGTTAGTCTTTACTACTTTCGGCACACGTTTTGACCCCGTGGGGGTAACGAAGTGCTGCCGAAATTTTCTATTTTTTCTTTCACTTAGTCTACTCGGCACACTTCGACCCCATGGGGGTAACGAAATGCTGCCAAAATTTTTGACAAATTAGATACGTCATTCCTCCCCACCTCCTCATCCACTTTTACTTCTTTATTTATTTATTTTTTAATTTATCTCTTTATCTATTATTTTTTTATTTATTTTTTGAATTTTTTTTTTTCTTTGCGGCATCTTGACACCTAGTGTGCTCACCTTGGTCTCTCCCTTTCCCTTGGCACATTCTTGACCCCGTGGGGGGTAGGGAAATGCTGCCGAAAATTTAAAAAAAAATAAAATAAATAAATAAATATTATTTCCCTTCACATCTCTTTACTTATTTCTTTAACTATTTTTATTATTTATTTATTTTCTTATTTATTTTTATTTTCTCTCGAAATCTCGCTGTTTATTTATTTTTCTCCCGTCTCCCTCCCCCTTATGCTTGCTATTTTACTTTCTTGATTAGGTCACCGGTACCCTACCCTTGCCACTTAAACCTCGGTTAGGGTTTTTCTTAGGGTTTAGGGTTCCTCAACCCCCCCCTACTTCCCCGTCCTCTTCGGGCACCCTGGACCCGAACCGCCCCTCCCCCTTTGACGGCGCCCGTGCTAGCCTTGCTAGCGCCGTTCACCGCTTTCTACCGCGGACTTCCCCCTACGCCCTCCGCTCACGCGGACCTCTTCTAGCCCCCTCCAGTCCGGTCCGTCATCTCCTGATGGCCGATGGTGCGTCACACGCCGCCGACACGGCGATGACCACGGCATCGGGCTCCACACCCGTGTCGGCGGACCAGGGCCATCAGCCCCAGCGGGATCTACACACCCTCCTCACCTCCCTCCTTGCGCCCATCCAGGCGCAACTCGCGACCCTTGCGCCCATCCAGGTGTAACTCGCGACCCTCGCGCCCTTACAGGCGCAGGTGGCGACCCTTGCCGCCGACATGCAGAAACTCCAGGACTCTGCGTGCCCGTCATCTCCTGGCTCCCAGTTCGGGTCCCCCGTCCTCCGACAGGGTGGCCACGGCGGAGCTTCCTCCTCTGTTCCCCCTGACCCGACCATCTTGGTGATGGTCCACGCCCCTAGCACGACGGCCGCCACGAGCCAGGCCCCCCCTCAGTCTACGGGCGCACCCGCCCAGATCCCGGTCCCTACGGCCACGGTACAACAACCCGCTACCATGGTCTCAGCTTTTCCGGGTGCCCCGCTTCTCCCTCCCCTTCGCACGACCGCAGCGCCACCTGGCTCTCCCCCCTCTGGGATGCCCTGCGCCGCTTGTGCGTCCACCCCCTCCACTCTTCCTCCTGCCACCCCTCGATCGACCTACGTTCGAGGCCTCGCGGACGAGATTGCCCAACTCCGGGCCGACCTCGCCCTCTTACGCCTTCAGCCACCCCCACCCTCAAAGGTGGCCGTGCCTTCGGGCGCACCCCCTACCTCCTCTACCCTTCCTCCCATGCAGGCTCGCTTTCCGCGCCCTGCACCCTATACAACTCCTTCCTACCTTCTTCCTACTCCCACGGTTGCTGCAACCTCTTCTACCGCAGCACCCTCGCAGCCTGCCACTGTTGCCACCGCCGCTCCCCCATGCGGCCCGGGCGCACAGTCAGCTGCGCCCCTTTCTCCAGGACCTGCGCCGACTTACACAGCCGTGGCACAGGCCTCCGCTCCTCGATCCCCTCACCGCCAGAAAGGTGGCGCACCACTCATCCGCTTGTCGGACATTGCCTTGTATGACGGTACAGGCATACGCGTGTCTCGGTGGCTGCAGTCTGCCACCCGCACACTCCAGCTCATGGGCGCCACACCCGAGACGTGGGTGGGTCACCTCTCCACGCGCCTGAGTGGCGGTCCTTTCGAGGCCTGGGAGAATTTCTATGCCCACTCCCTTCGTGAGGGTCGGACTCCGACCTTCGTGGATTTCCAGGCGTTCCTCGAGGATCGGTTCGGAGCCCGATACGACGTGACTGACGCCTTCGAGCGTGTCGTCACTACACGCTGGTCCAGCTCTGGTGGGGCTGCCGGCCTGGATCGCCACATCCAGGTCTTTCAGGACGCCCGCCTCGTTTGCGACGTGTCGTTCCTCCTCGAGGCTGCCCTTATCGATCGTTTCTTGGCCAGCCTTCCACTCGAGTACCGCTTCGAGCTATGGTGGTACGAGTTCACATCGGCCCCATAGGCTTACGAGGTCGCCAGGGACCACACGCGGATGCGAGCCCATCCTCACCCCGCCTCCTCCTCCCAGCCCCAGCGTACGGGCTACGCCTCCTCCTCCTCTCACGACACTTCCCAGCGTCGTTCCCCTTTCCGTGGTCGCCCCCGCTGTCCCACGCTGCAGGGCCGCCACTTCTCGCCCCGCTTCAGTGCGCTGGAGTATGGTGAGCAGGACGCTGTTGCCCCACTGTCACTTGAGGGCGACCACAGCGACGACCTCGATCTCTGCGAGGCCATCCACTATCACTTGGAGGACTTGACCGTCCCTGCAGTTGAGCGCCTTCAGCTCGCGCTCTCCGCCCTCTCTCGGGCACGCAGCCGCCCCGGTCACGCTGGCGCATCGCCCCCCGAGGTCCCTTAGGAGGACCTCCCTCAGGGCTTCGTCCCTCCTCGCGGTGTCCTTTCCGCTGAGGAGCGCGCGGCTATTCTGGGCCGACGTGGGTGTTTGCGCTGCCGCTTGGACGGTCATACCTCCTCGCGGTGCCCTTACACTACCGCCCTCGACCGCCACTAAGCTGATCTTTCTCGTCAGCGTCGTGCTCAGTCCCACCCCGACGCCTCACATCCCTGCGGCGCCTCCTAGCCACGGTGCAGTGTACACCTGCGCCCTCCTCAGTAGTGGGTTTCCCGACATCTCCGTCGCGGTTCGCCCCTCTTGCTACTGGAGTTGAGGTATCACAGGACTCGACAGAGTGTACTCAGCCCTCTGTCGCAGTACCGTCTGCGCCTCCGCAAACCACCGTCTCCCCTCCTTCCCCGCCGCGACTACCGACGAGTCGAACCATTCGCTCAGCCCGTTGCAGCGAGCAGCTTGCTACTCGCGAGGACGTTGTGTCCTCTCTTCTGGACTTGAGCATGCTTCAGGCTCGTCAGGAGCGACTCACCCTCTATGTCGCTGCACTGCGTCGCCTTCTCGCCATCCTCTCTGACCCTGATCGCACCCTCCCGATCATCCCAGTACGACTCGGGACCTCCACGAGGGTGTACTCAACGCTGTGGGATTCCGGTTCTCAGGGCGACTTCATTCA